GGGCTTTTCTCTTTAGAACGACGAAGGATGAGAGGTGACTTGATAGAGGTGTACAAAATGATCAGAGGTATAGATAGAGTAGACAACCAGAGACTTTTTCCTGGGGTGGAGGGAGCTATTACAATGGGGCATAGTTTTAAAATGAGTGGAGGTAGATATAGGGGAGACGTCAGAGGTAGGTTCTTTACTCAGAGAGTGGTAAGGGCGTAGAATGCATTGCTGGAGAGGGTAGTGGAGTTGGCCTCATTAGGGGCATTTAAGAGGCTATTAGATAGGCATATGGATGATAGTATAAGGTAGGGGTGGAGGTTAGATAGACCTTAGGTTTAGGGTAAAAGTTCGGCACAACATTGTGGGCCGAAGGGCCTATACTGTGCTGTACTGTTCTATGTTCTGTGATCTATGCTGTTTGCACTGTAGCATACGATGTGCACATGAGTGTCGCCGTGATCATTAGTCCTCAAGATAGTCTAGGAAAAACATAAATACTCCAAAGCTTTGGCAGATTGAAAAAGATCACAGGACTGTTGAACAAATTGCTATATTGTGTCAAATGTCGAGTTTACAGAAAGTCAACACCTCTGCACCCAAAGTGATTTCAGTGTTATTCAATCTCTCTTTTCCTGCTGCTACATTTTACAAACATACGAAAACCCTTCGTGTGATAGTCCCTCACAGTGGCAGTGTTACAAATACTAACACGCACTCAGAGACTATGAATCATTACGTAGTCAGTGGTACATAGCCTGGGAGAGTGCAGCAGATTACTCATCCCCTTGCAGCACAGGAGCCAAGTTCTCTTGCATGGGTCCAGCTGTATGAAAAATTATGGGGAAAGTTAGGATGTTGTGGGTGTGGGAGCATTGGGTGAGTTGTGGGGAAGGATCAGCAGAGCTTATTAAAGTTTCCATAACAAGTAATAGGATGGAGAGTATGGAAAGGCTCAGGAATCTAACTTGGGCTATAACAGATAAAAGGACAACTGTGAAAAGGGTGAGATAACAAGGTGTAGAGCTGGATGAACACAGCAGGCCAAGCAGATTTTTCTGAAGAAGGGTCTAGGCCCGAAATGTCAGCTTTCCTGCTCCTCTGATGCTGCTTGGCCTGCTGTGTTCATCCAGCTCTACACCTTGTTATCTCAGATTCTCCAGCATCGGCAGTTCCTACTAACTATGAAAAGGGTGATGGTCAATGCAGGACTGAGAGTGTTGTACTTATATGCACGCAGTATACAAAACAAGATAAATGAGCTTGTAGCGCAGATTGAAATTGGTGATACGATGTTGTGGGTATCACAGAGACATGGCTGAAAGGGCATCAAGGCTGGGGCCCAAATGTCCAAAGATACATGTCCTATCGAAAGAACCAGCAGATGGGTAGAGAGGATAGGGTCTGCTTGTAGGTAAGAAATTAAATTAAATAGATAGTAAGAAGTGATATAGAGTTGGAAAGTGTAGAATCTGTATGGGTCAGATTAAGGAATCACAAGGGGCTTAGATAGGGTGGAATTTTTTAAATGCATTCAGGAAAGTTTTCTCAAGCAGTGTGTGGAAGGTCTTAATCAGGAACGGGCAAAACGCAACCTACTCTTGGGAAAAAGGACAGGACAGGTGACTGAGGTGAGAGTGGGGGAGCACTTTGGGACCAGTGACCATAGTTCTTTTAATTTTAATATTGTTATGGAGAAGGACAAAACTGGTCCACGAGTTCAAGTTCTAAACTGGGGCAAGGTGAATTTTGATGGAATTAGACAGGAATTTCCAGGGGTTGATTGGCATAATTTGTTCGCAGGTAAAGGAATCTCTGGCAAGTGGGAGGCCTTTATAAGTGTGATAGCTAGAGTTCAAAGTCTATTTGCTCCTGTGAAGGTGAAGGGCAAGGTTGGCAGGTGTAGGGAACCCTGGATGACAAGAGATATTGAGGCTGTGACCAGAAAAAAGGAGGAGGCATAGCTCAGGTAGAGGCATCTGGGATCAAGGGAATCCCTGGAGGTATATAGGGGATACAAGAGTTTACTGAAGAAGGAAATCAGGAGGGCGAAAAGGGGGCACGAGATAGCTTTGACTGAGAAGATTAGGGTGAATCCAAAGAGATTCTTTAAGTATATTAAAGGGAAAAGAATAACTAGAGAGAGAATAGGACCCTTCAACAAACACAGTGGACATGTATGTGTGGAACCATAGGAGATTGGCAAGGTCCTCAATGAATATTTCTCCTTTGTGTTTACTGTAGAGAAAGTCATGGAGATTTGGGAACTTGGGGAAGTTAGTGGCGATATCTTGGGGAAGTCCATATCTCAGTAGAGGAAGTGTTGAAAGTATTAGAATGTATAAAGGTGGATAAATATCCTGGTCCTGATCAGATATATCCAAGAACCCTGCAAGAGGCTAGGGAAGAAATTTTGGGGGCCCTGGCTGATATATTTGCATTATTGTTAGCCACAGGTGAGGTCCTGGAAGACTGGAGGTTAGTGAATGTTGTATCCTTACTCAAGAAGGGCTGCAGAGAATTATAGACCATTGAGCTTAACATGTGTGGTAGGTGAGTTACTTCAGAAAGTTCTGAAGGATAAGATATACGTGCATTTAGAATGACAGGATTTGATTATGAGTACCGTGTGGAGCTGGAGGAACACAGCAAGTCAGGCAGCATCAAAGGAGCAGGATAGCCTACATTTCAGGTCAGGACCATTCATCAGGACTTCACCCTTCAGAGTCGTATTGAAGCGTCCTGACCTGAAACATCAACTTTCCTGCTCCTCTGATGTGACTGACCTGGTGTGTTCCTCCAGCTCCACACTGTATTGACTCCGACTCCAGCATCTGTAGTTTTTGCTATCTCTTTGATTAGGAGTTTTCAGCATGGCTTTGTGCATGGGAGATCATGCCTCACAAATTTATTAGCGTTCTTTGATGAATTGACCAGGAAGGTTGATGAGGGCATGGAGGTAGACATAGTCTGAATGGATTTCACTAAGGCCTTTGATAAGGTTCCACATGGTAGGCTGCTCTGGAAGGTTAGATCGCATGGAATCCAAGGAAAGCTGGAAAATTGGATACACTGGGAGCCTGCACCACTGCCAGCTGCTCAGCTGCATGAGCTGCACCTTTCTGCCTAGCCGCACCATCCTTCGCTACCTCAAGTTCCACCTGAAGAGGTTTGTTTCACAGCTAACATCTCCCCCTCCAAAGTCCTCATCCAGAAACTCTCCCCCCATTCTCCTCCCTAACCCCCTCCCCATTCTCCATACACCTTTCCCTCCCCCACCATTTTCCTCACCACCCTCCATCCATCTCACCCTGCTCCTTCCCCCACATCACGCACTGCCTGTCTACCCCTACATCCCACCCTGACCACTTCCATATCCCT